GTTTGATATCAGTAAAGCATTATTCTCGGAAAATACCTGTAATCACAATAGGCATTGACATTTTAAAAAATGGCCAATTGCAACTTCCACACCCTATATATCAAAAACTATTCATAGGATTGAGTTCCGATGGACACTATTGTTCAAAAAGACTGCAGCATATCACAAATTTAGGAAACTTCACAGAAACCCATTTTTCCATAAGCCGGGCCTGGTGCTTTGCTCGTATGGCAGAAGTTGAAATTAGTAATGTTCTGGTTACAAAAATCACTTGTCAACTTCTGCCAAACCAATATCGCTGCATTATTATTTAATAAGATGTTAAATAAAAAGAAAATATTTCATATCATTCCGAACGATGAGCAAATATGTCAGCTCCCTAGCTGGATCTCAATCTGATTTATGAAATATTCTCATATCCTGTACTTAATTTTTCAAAAACGTAATAATCACTTAAAAATGTTTGCCAAGGACAGACTTAAGAATGAGGCACCACGTCAAATTTGTCAAGACAACAGTTTATTTAAACCAAAACAAATAATTTAATGTTGAACTAAATAAGTTTATAATTGTCATGCCTTAACATGTGTGTTTTAAGGTGCGTTTTTCTTCTTGCCTTGTAAGGACAAAAAAAGCATTCAAAGAGGGGTTCTTTACCACATTCAAATTTTCGATGGTTATAGAGCGACTGACTGTGTTTGTACGTTTTGTAACATGTTGGACAAATGTGTTGACCTAAAACAAAAAATAAAACACAATACAATTGTAAATAAAAAAATACATGTTTTAAAGTGTGTGTTATAATTTAAAAAATACAATATAATATATATAAATATAAATTCAGAAAGCTTAACCAGGAAAAAATAGTAAATACAACTCAGTTCTTAACTTGAAGCAATTATTATTGTAAATATACTCAAAAGTACGATTCCTTAATCTTTTGAATAAATTTTTCAATTAAAAAGCTGTTAACATTTTTAATTTAAGCTATATTATTATTAAATCGATACATTATTTGTTTTTAAAGCATAGAAAGAACCTTCAATTATTACTTTTAAGTAAATACTTCAAAAACACATTTGTTGCACTTTAAAAACTTCTTGAAATACTCTTTTAATATATGAAATACTTTCACAAACAAAAGCTGTTAAAGTACTTTAAATAGCTTAAATTTCTTCTAGAAGCTTGATTTTTAATTCATATTCAAAATACCTTAAGAAACAAAAAAAATGAAAGTTTTTGAATAGAGCTTAAACTATAATTTCACATACTATTCACAAAATAAATATGTCCATGGAATCCTACAAACATTTGAAACGAGAAGTATTTAGAAAAGTACTTCCAAAACAATTTTATGAACGTTTCTAAATACAATATTTCATAAATATTTATCTATAAACACATTGAAAATAATTGAATATAAAAGTATATCAATAATTTTTGGAAATCTGTAATACTGATCGATTTTGTAAATGTTTCAAATAATTTTAAGCCTTTTTAAATTAACATTACTTTAAAAGAAATTAAACTTATTAAATAAATTTAATGTGTAGATATATATATATATATATATATTAAAACAAGTAAATACTTTAATAGTATTTAAAGTACAATGACAAACAAACAATAATTAAAATATATTAAGTCTTTCGAAATATTGCATTAAAAACAAAAGATAATTTTTGGTATGTGATACTCAACAGAATACAGAATTTCAAATTATTAATTTAAAATTGTGCTTTATAAAGCAATGCCTTCTAAGATGAGTCTTGCGTTTCGCCTTGTATGGACAATGCTCGCATCTAAATGTAGGTTCTTTATCACATTCAAATTTTCTATGAGTATACAAGGATGCGGCATGTTTATAGCCTTTGTTGCAGTTCTTGCAGCGAAAGTTAGCTGAAAAATAAAAAAGTTATTCTAGTCACTAAACATGGATCAGTACTTACGTCATTTTATGTATCGCGGACGTTCTGTCATTGGCAAAAATAATATTGCAATTTGGAAATGTGAAAACAAACCAAAGAAAAATTAAAAAATCTAACAGGAAAAAAAGGGAATACAATTTTATGAGGTATTACTTAGAATTATATAATTTGTACTCAAAACCAAAACACTGCCATAACAATTAAATGTCAAAAAATAAATTGTATGTAAAAAAGAAGAAATAACATAGGTCCAATGTCTAAGTAAGAAAGAAACCTTTTAATATTCTAAAACATAGACAAATTAAATAATTTATTCATAAAAATCTTATATCAAAACATCAACAAATAAACTGTCCCATTCTTAATCGTCATTTGAAAATTCCTTGTAAAAATGCCAACACAAAAGATTGCAAAAAAGCGCAAGCGCGAACATTTCTATTCTGGAACAATTCTCGCTTTGGGCCAGAACCCACGTTACTGTTCGAGAATGGTTATGGAACCATTCCCAAGAGAAACCAATACAGAGAATGTACAGGTTCAGAACTAGTTTTAGGTTTCACACAAAGAATATCTACTGCGCATGCTTAAAAGGTTCTGGAACAGTTACGAGCGTGAACCAAAACAAAGCTATGGCATTATGTCGAAATGAGTTGGCTACGATCTGTCACTACTTTTAACATAAGAAAATAATTACTAATTATGCATTCTATGAAAACATAATATTAGAAACACTTTTAGAGAATCAAAACTGTTTAGATAAAAAAATGTATTTAAGTATAAGAATATAAAACAATTTTTTTACAATAATATGGTATTAAACGATATTAAATTTATAGAAGAATATAAGTAAATTAATAAATAACAATGACTCATTTACAGATTTTGAATTTTTGTTCATTTATATTTTATTTATTCTTTACTTAATTCACATTTTATCAACAATGTATATGTATGAGTAAAAAATTAATAATTAAAATGAAAACTCCATAAATTAAAGAAACCAGAGTATATATCCATGACGACAAGGTTTTAAATATAAATTAAAATATCAAAATAGTATTTTTTCGTCTAAATTGTAAACCATGTTCTAACATTTACATTGAAACATGAAATACTTGATCAATGAATGATTAAAAGGCTATTAATAGCTATGTATGTAACCAGTTACGAAATGCCTTATTTATCATTCTTTTGAAGGTACTTCCAATCAAATATTTCAGAAAATTATGGTATTGCCCTACATTTTTAATAGTAATTTTTGGATTTTTGGATTTTGGATTTTTTGAATTTTTGAATTTTTGAATTTTTGAAATTTTTGAATTTTTGAAATTTTTGAATTTTTGAATTTTTGAATTTTTGAATTTTTGAATTTTTGAATTTTTGAATTTTTGAATTTTTGAATTTTTGAAATTTTTGAATTTTTGAATTTTTGAATTTTTGAATTTTTGAATTTTTGAATTTTTGAATTTTTGAATTTTTGAATTTTTGAATTTTTGAATTTTTGAATTTTTGAATTTATGAATTTTTGAATTTTTGAATTTTTAAATTTTTGAATTTTGAATTTTGAATTTTTATAATTTTTGAATTTTTGAATTTTTGAATTTTTGAATTTTTGAATTTTTGAATTTTTGAATTTTTGAATTTTTGAATTTTTGAATTTTTGAATTTTTGAATTTTTGAATTTTTGAATTTTTGAATTTTTGAATTTTTGAATTTTTAAATTTTTGAATTTTTGAATTTTTGAATTTTTAAATTTTTGAATTTTTGAATTTTTGAATTTTTGAATTTATGAATTTTTGAAATTTTTGAAATTCTTGAATTTTTGAATTTTTGAATTTTTGAAATTTTGAATTTTTGAATTTTGGATGATTTTTGGATTATTTTGGTTTTTTGTATTTTTCGATTTGAAAACCAAAAAAGAAGCATTGTTATTTATTTTCATTTCGTAACTGGTGACATAATCAACTTTTTGTAATCAGTTGCATAAACTGGTTGCATAAAGTAGATCGTTCATCTGTCAAAATTAGAAAAAAGTATTTATTTAATTTTTAAAACGGTAAAATTAAAACTGCGAATATGTAACAACTCTTTTGAAAACATTTTTAATAATTTTGAAATTCTTTTAAAACCCCTCCTATGTGCTTCTTTTAAATACATAGAAATAAGTACTTGCTCTAAAACTTTTAAATATTTATTTAGTTCAACTTGAATCTTAAATTACTTTTGGGAGTACTATAACTTCTAACAGCTTCTACGGACTTAAAATATGTCCAATTTAGAAGTTGAAGTAAAGCACGTTTTTGGTTCTTGATCATTCTAAAATATTTCGTTACGACTAAAATGGTGCTGCCTCATCAGGTGCTGCCTTAGATGCGTCTTCCTTTTGGCTTTGTATGGACAAAACTCGCACATAAAGGAAGGTTCTTTGCCACATTCGAACTTCTGATGGGTGTACAGTGATGGGTAATGTTTGTACGTTTTATTACAGTTCTTGCAGGAGAAGCTGGCTAAAAAATAAAAATGATATACTGGGAACTTGGCTTCAGGAAAAACGAATACTTACACAATAAACCAGGCAAATGTTTGTCTGTAAGTGTTCAGATTTGAACATAATAAATCAACATTCTGTATATCAAATTAATTATTTTGCGTTCCAATTTCGCCTGGAGTTCGATGTGTAAATTATAATCATAAAAATACTGACTTAATTTAAAAACTATTTTCAAAACATTGAACGAGGTCGAAATTGGAGTAATATATTTTTTGAATATATATTAAAACATTAAATAATTCTAATTGTTATTGTAAATTGTTTTGTTTATAATATTATAACATTAGGTGATAATGAGAAAATAAAGAGATTCATGAAAACCATCTTGTGGTATTAATTACTAAATTTATCTTTGAAATCTATTCGTGGTCCTTCGAGCAAAAGTTTAGAAAATTTTCAAAAATATTACGAAAAAAAAGTTTTGTAAATAAAAGTCTACATTAGAAAATATATAATAAAATGGAAGAAGCAAACAAATTATCACAGGAACAAGAAATAAGATTGAAAAGCAATTAATAAAAATGGAACAATTAGATCGACTCATCCAACAAGCAGATCAAGAAATACTGGAAGCTAAACTGAGATCCAAGAGTTGTCTCATAACAAACATCGATAGAGTATGGGAAAGTATCCAGGAATTACATGAAAATATCATGACCAATCAACCAAGACGAGTATTTCAAAAATGATTTATTTTTAAAAACTGAAATAAATGAAATTATTGGAAGAACAAGAGAGTCAAAATATTCCCAAAAATTATATTACCATTGTTTGATGAAAGTTACGATAGTTTCTCCTTTCATGGCATTTTCCAAAATTATTCACCAAAGCAGCTTCATAACAACCATTGAGAAAATGCAATGTCTAAAAACAAATATCCCAGGAGAAGCTAGTAAAATTATAGAACATCTAGAAATAACTGAAGACAATTACGTATCAGCATGGGAACTGTTATCTGTATCAACATTAGTAGACTAAATACTAAATTTGCCTGTTTGCCTCGATGAGTCATTTAAAAAATTAAACAACTTCAAGATGTTACCGTGGAATGCCTTAATGCAATCAAAAATATAGGTATTGAAACAATGTCTTGGGGACCCATTGTAACCAGAATAATAATGAGGAAATGGGATCCTACAACAAACAAATATTTTGAACAAAACTTAACCAAGCCGCATGAAGTTCCAGATCTTGCCAGAGTAATGGAATTTTTGAAAGATTTTAATCACTAGAGTCATCAAAAAACACAGAGATGGCAAAAGCCAGGATTATATATCCAAAATCCGATATAAAAACAAGCTATAAAAATAATGGTTATAATACTTGTGGGTATAGCAACAAAGACCACACAATATATTAATGTGAAGCTTTCAGATCACTAGTTGTCAAAGATAGAAACAATGCCATAAAAGATAAACAATAATGCTACAACTGTATGGCTCATGAATTCAAATACAAATGCAAAAGTTCATTCAAATGCAACATCTGTCAACGTCATCATCGTACCATGTTGCACCTAGATAACAGAGAACGATTAAAACAAAATTCAAACTCAGGCGAATTCAACTTCTAAACCTCAACAAAAAGGAACACAAGAAAATGAAGTCTTACTTCCACCTTCAATGATACACGTACAAACCAATGATGGCACAATGGTACTTTTAAGAACACTCCTAGACCAAGGATCTCAAGCCTCCTTTATTACAGAAGAAGGTGCCCAAATGCTAGCCCTGCCAAAAAAAAGAATCGAAGCAGAAATAGCTGGTCTAGCCCATGGACAGCCTAAACTTTCAAAATGGAGAATTCAAGCACATCTGAAACCAAGATTCTCCAGTAACTTTGCCATGAATGTTCAACTGATGGTTATGTCAAAGTTGACACAAGCTATCCCAAAAAACTCATTACTACACGTTGATACAGCAACCTTGCAGAATTTATTAGCGGATCCAACATTCAATAAAACAGGTCCAATCGATTTATTACTTGGAGCAGAAGAATATATGAAGTCTTGCTTCCAACTTCAATGATACACGTACAAACAAACCAATTATTGCACAATGGTACTTTTAAGAGCACTCCTAGATCAAGGATCTCAAGCCTCCTTTATTACTCAAGAAGCTGCCCAAATGCTAGCCCTGCCAAGAGAAAGAATCGAAACAGAAAACGTGGAACGTTTTAAAAGAGATTCATGAAAACCATCTTGTGGTATTAATTACAAATTGTATCTTTGATATCTATTCAATAAGATATACATATTTGTTTCTAATGATTTAAAAAGTAAAAATCCCATTAGTTGACATGTATCCAAACGTTGATAATTTATTAAAATTTTGGATAAAAGAATTCATTTGGATTTACAAATAATTAGAGCGTACAGCTACTACTATCTGTAAACTGCTAAAAACAAGATGGTGACTAATGAAATAATACAGCCAGTGTAGTTCAAACCGAGAAAGGTTCAAACCGAGCACAATGGGATTCTCGTGCCAAAAACAATGTCATTGAAAGGAACATGCTCATCTACACAGAAAGCAGAAAAGCAGTACTCATCCTGGACAGACCACTAATTTACGCAGGGTTATTACTAGAATGTCACGAAGCTTTTTCCGAAGTATCCATCAACAATGTGGCCACCTTTTAAGATGAATGTCACGCCTCATCAAAAGGTAACCATCTTGCTGATTCACTAGACAAAAAAACAATCAACCAAATACTTTTTGGGCCTTAAAACGTTTTGAAGAATACGGATTGGATGAAAATATCAATTTTTCCTTTCATTTAGTCAGAATTACCAAGAATAAAGATGGTATTTTGCACAAAGGAGGGAAGAAGATGAAGAGGAACGCCAAGAGGAAATGTAGGAACTGTGAGCATACAATTGTAGAAGAAGTAAGAAAGGCAACAAGAGATTTAAAGAAGACCAGCTCTTCTTAAAGCTGTAGAGTGGCTAGGGAAATTTTAAGTTATCCTGGCATCACTACAGCAAACGAATACTTGACTATGACTAGACAGAATCTGCGCCTGATCAGAGGCATTCTGACTGGTCATTGGCAAGTACGGAAGCATCTCCATAGCATGCGGCTGTCAAAATCGGCAGTGTGAACAAAAAGATGAGAGAATTGGCTAACACAGGCTGATATTAGAAAAGCGTCTCTTGAGATATTAGAAAAGCGTCTCTTGACGACGTTATCATCTACATTAAATCTGTAGGCTAGCTTACAAACTAGGAGATGCCTATCAACTTAGGAGAACGCAGTATAGGCCTAGTGAGGCCTAACTTCCTCCAGACGTGATAGATACAGATGCAATAAAACAGGTGCACGAGTTTTCGAAGTTTGCAGAAGAATTTTGTGTCAAAACCATTAGAAAGCTAGTTGACTTCATCATTATGAAAGAAACTAAGGTACATATAATATTCTCGACGTTATTTTTTTTACTGCATTATTAGACCGTACAAATAGTTTTATAAAGGTTGTTTTGTGGGTAATCTGAGAGTAAAAAAATGGTTCCAAGGGGGGTGTCAATATTTGGTAATTACAATTTAAGGGTGATCATTACTATCAACCTTTGGGTCATTGTCGGTTGAAATATCTTTAAACAGGTTTCTACCTTTTTTAAAGTAAGTTTTCTCTGATATAAGTTTAAATTGTCTAACATAGTGAAAACCATTGGAATCTGCTTCTGCAATATGCTATTTGAGGAAGTACAGTCCAAAAAATATGGCTGCTATCCTAGAAAACCGTAATAGAGTATACCAGAGTCACAAATTAGCTATCAAATTAAAATCTTAACTATCTAAAGAAGAGGACACAATTTTATATAACTGGATAATACATTTAGCAAAAGCAAGTTTTTCCATGAATAGGGAACAAGCTTGTTAACTTATCTAAAATTGGAAAAAAATGACAAAATCTTACAATTTACTGAAAGCATTTTTAACGCTACTTTCTGTAGAGGTTAGATCAGCTTCGACTTAAGTTTTTTAGTTAGTGATATTTTTTGTAAAGTGTTAAAGCTGTTTAGTTTATTTTTGTTGCAACTTTGTATGTTATTTTCTTTAGACCCAACCTCATATCAATTATTATTCCATAGGTGTTATATGTCGTATATTTAGAAGCTTTCAAGGATGTGAAATGATACAGGGTGTTCCGTTGAAGAAAATTAGTGCCGGCAGTGCTATATTTACGTGAATCACCCTGTATATTCATATTTTCATTCGGAGAAGGTACAATTAAGTTATATGGTACTCATAATACCTACTCGTATAAAAATAAAGTTATTATCTGGTTTCAATAAATACATATATGATGTCCATGAGCGTATACTACAGGGGAGCAGAAGAGGGAAGTTGCACCTCCTTGATTTTCCAATATTATAGTCTGAAAAAATATTATTGGGAAAAAAATAAGAAACTATGTAGCATAGTTGAAAAGATGCATATTTAATTAAATTATGTTGTTGTATAGAAACATTTAGTAATTTTTAAAACTTTTACTTTAAAATAACAAAAACTACTAGGATATTTATCTTAATTTTTATCATAGCTTCTTCAGTACCCTTTATAATCTTTTTGCCTTAATAAATTTAATAAAAAACGTTATTTTATTAACTGGATTTATTTTACATGTTAATAATCATTATTATTACAAAATATAGATATAACTATTTGTATAAATAATTTAAAACCGTTAAAACTTAATATTGCTTCCACCAAAAAAATTGTTAAAAAATATTCGTTTCGTAATTTTAATTCGTTTTTGTAAAAGTTTATTATTTTTGTTATATCTTTTTTCCTACATACTAATACAAAAAAATGATACGATATGAAAAATAATAGTTTAAAAGTTACAGCAAACAATAATAGTGTTAGTAAAAAACAGTAAACTCATCTTTTTGTTAGTATATAACAATAAACAACATTTTCTTAACAAATTTACAATAAGTATTATAAAGTTGATTACCTCCGAACTTTTACCGAAAATATTCTACTATTTTCAAAATTGCCTGATAAATTTGTTTAGAATTAAAACCACCAAATTAAAAATATACAAGATGTCTTAATAAAAACTCCCAAGCTAAATATCAGTGTTTCGCTTGAAAGCTTTTATAGAGCCACACTGTATAGATCTTCTCGAGTTTGTACCCTGGCAAATAAGAAAGTAAATTTAAAAGGTTTTATATAGGGTGGCTCATAAATAATATATCAGTATACAAAGGGTAAGTTAAGCAAGTTTATTTCCAAAATATGAAAACAGAATGTCTTTCAAAACCTATACAACCTGACAACTTCTAAGGAACTTTGGAGTTGACTATTAACTACAGTCTGTTCGCTATACTTACGCGGGTTTCGGATTACAAAATTATGCAAATTAGTCATTGACAACCAGTTCCAATAAGCCTCTTCCCAAGAAATTAGGTAAAATTGCCCTAATGGTCAGATTTAAATTAAAATAACATTAGGGTAGGTACTAAATTTGTTACAAATATTGCAGTTGAATTGATTCTTTGCAAGTGTTGACATTGTATGTATATTGTAAATTTAGTGGAAATTTTAAAAATGCCTAGACGTGTGTTAGATGTAGATAGTCTAATTTGTAGTGTACATAAGTATTTTACGGATGAAAAAGAAAATGGCGGTCCTTTAAAATCGGTAATGTCTGTACAACAACGCGTATGCGATGCTCTAGGAATTAGTGAAACCAAATTAAGAGGAGTATTACAAAATCACAATAGTGAATTGCCGAAAGAAGATCACCGCAAAACTCGCTCATCATTGAAAACGAAAGATATTCCAGATGGAAAGAAATTTGAAATTCGTCATACTATTTATCGAATGAGGGCCAACAAGGAACATATGACCTTAAATACAATTCTCTCGGAATTAATAGATAGAAAATTTGACGACATTGGCAGAACAAGTCTATGGCAAGTGATACATAACTTGGGTTTCAAATTTCAAAAGGAGGATAACAGAAAGGCCCTTTGTGAAAGAAGTTCTGTCGTGCACAAGATAATTAACTTTCTAAGAAAATATTCTAAATTTATAGAAGAAGGGGCGAATTTTATATATTTAGACGAAACATGGATATTTTCTAGGGGTGCAACCAAGAGAATATGGTAAGATGATAACGTAAAGTCCATCAAATATACCGATGGAGAAGGGAAGCGACACATAATTTTACATGCAGGAGGAAAATCGGGTTTTATAGAAGGTGCTGATTTAATATTTTCATCTAAATCAAAATCCAGTGACTATCACGATAATATGAACACAGAAATGTTTGTAAAATGGTTGCATGAAAAACTTCTCCCAGGTTTAAGTGAGCCCAGCGTAATTATTTTAGACAATGCACCTTACCATTCTGAAGTATTAAACAAAAGTCCAACGAATTCTTGGACTGTTGATAAAATTAAAGAATGGTTGATAAAGAAACATATACCATTTCCTCAATATACAGGGTGATTCATAACTATTGAGACATAGATTAAGGGCAGGTTATTTAGATCAAAATATGGCGATAGGACCAAATATACCTTAATAAAATATGGCTGTGGAATAAGATACAAGGCGTTAAAGTTGAATTTTTTTTTTTTTTCGTTTTTTTTTATAATCTCACTGTATATTTATAAATTGTTATCAAAATCGGCTCAAAGGCATATCTTTGGACAAGGGATATTATTTTATGTATTACTTCATATTTTTTTACAGGGGGCGCCACGAGAATGATTCCTGATGATGAAATTAAGTGGTAAGTTTTTTGCCGAAACTTTTTAGTGCTTTTTATTAGAAAATATTACGTAAACATCATTTCTACGTAATATTGGTACTCATGTTTAAACACGATAATTTCACCTGTTTTCGAGAAAAACGCAATTGAACAGTTCAGAGTCTCAGAAGGATATTTCAAAAAATATTTTATTTATGAAAAGTGTGCTTTGGACTGTCAGATAATTGTGTCTGGTAAATGTCAGTTCTTGCCAATGAATTATTTTTGCTGTGAGATTATAGTCTATTTTTGCTGTGAGA